AGCTAAACGAACAAAAGCAGAGTTGGCCAATTAGCATATCAGCCACAGCTGCAGGTAGCGCTGAGGGTTAGACTAGGTTTATTTTTCAGAAACAAGTCCTGTTTCTCATTTGAAGCCAGGAAAAGGCTAGTCACTGTGACCTTTTTACCTGTGCTGGACTATGGTGATCTGGTCAATATGAATGCACCTGCCCATTGCCTGAACAAGTTAGATGCCGCCTATCACAGTGCACTTAGATTTGTCACAAATTGTAAAGCACTTACACATCACTGTGTACACTGTATACCATGGCAGGTTTGCCATCACTTACTGTACGGAGACTCAGTCATTGGTACACGTTTATTTATAAAGCCATGTTGGGTAAACTCCCGTATTACATCTGTTCACTGATAACACAGAGAGTTGCAAGCAGCTATTGTCTGAGATCGCATGATGTAGTCTTGTTAGATGTGGCAAGACCAAGGACTGTCTTAGGTAAGACAGCTTTTATGTGCGCAGCTCCACTTGCTTGGAACAGTCTACAGCTAAAATTGAAACTGAGCAATTTTATTCCTCTGAATGTTTTTAAAGCAAGTCTAATTGAAATGCTCATTGTAACTATGGGTATTTGTAAATGTTGATAAGTATGTACATTTAGCTTGTAAATATGTTGTATGATATCCTCTAATGTTTTATGTTGTTTTATGTTTCATGTGGAACCTAATTGCTGCAGGTCTCCCTTGAAAAAGAGATCTATGATCTCAATGGACAATCTGGTTAAATAAAGGTTTGAAATGAAAAAGAGACATTATCACTTAAAATAAAGAGAAAACTTAAAGGTGGGGTAGGTAATTCACTTCAGAAACACTTTTTGTTATATTCCATGGAATGCTCTCAACATCCCGATAGCAATGAATACATTAAATGCTTTGACAATAAATACATTAAAAAAATTCATCCGTGGAAGCCATAGCGCTGTAAAAAGCACGACCAATCATCTGAGCCGGCCCGGCTAAAATAACTGGATGGCCTACCTGCCTGTCAGCCTTCCATCTCGCACAAACTTATCTTGTGCCCTCATTGGTCATGTGCGCGTTTGTGTGTGTTGGAGGAGGGGCTCTGTAAGGAAGTCTGAAGGAAGGGGCAGATTCTTTTCGGCTGCGGAGTTTCAAATTCTAGCGCACTCGAGCTGGTTTCTCCATTCTTACCTACCCTACCTTTAAGTGAAGCGTAAATGTATATTCTTGATGTTTGCAGTGAAGGACAGGTTGTTATCTAGGGTCACACCCAGATTCCTTGCAGTCTGAGTCGGGGAAACAACAGAGGTGCCGATGTTGATTGTTAGGTCAAGAGTGGGACAATCTTTTCCCGGAAGAAAAAGCAGTTCAGTCTTGTCAAGGTTGAGCTTGAGGTGATGAGCAGACATCCACTGAGAGATGTCTGCTAGACAAGCAGAGATGCGTGCGACGACCTGGGTTTCAGAACGGGGAAAAGACTAAATTAATTGAGTGTCGTCAGCGTAGCAGTGGTATGAAAAACCATGCGGAATAATGACTGATCCGAGCGAGTTTGTGTACAGAGAGAAGAGGAGGGGACCAAGAACAGAGCCCTGAGGGACCCCTGTAGTTAATTGACAAGGGTCGGACTCGGACCCTCTCCAAGTTACCCTGTAGGTGCGGTCACTGTTCAATGAAAGAAATACATAATTTATAGTTAAACATGATTTTATTCATAATGTAAACCTACACATTAGCTTAACACAAACATGTATTCTTTATGTTTCATTCTTCACACGTAAATGATCCTATTTAAATGTAAAAGACTTAAAAACATATTTTGATAAATTTGTTATGCTTTCTTCGCAATGTTGTATACAATACAACATGTCGTCAAATCATCTCAGAAACTGATCAGTAATTAATGCAGCCTATTTGTCTAAAGAATTTCCTGTTTGAAACAACAAAGTCATTCCATAGAGCTTCACTGTAAGAGGAGTAATCAAAAATTAGATTTTAGCATATTTCTTACCCTAATCTAGGACACAGAGTTAAAGGAACCCTGCAGCATACTGTGTTTTATTTATCTATTTTTGTTAGTGCTGGTGGTGGTGTGTGTGTGTGTGTGTGTGTGTGTGTGTGTGTGTGTGTGTGTGTGTGTGTGTGTGTGTGTGTGTGTGTGTGTGTGTGTGTGTGTGTGTGTGTGTGTGTGTGTGTGTGTGTGTGTGTGTGTGTGTGTGTGTGTGTGTGTGTGTGTGTGTGTGTGTATGCAGTGTGTCTTAAGTCTCACAAGTGGAGATTTAGGGTAGAATATTTCAGGACCCTGAACAAAATCCTTTTGAGAAATGCTGCAATAAAAAAATCAATATTAGTTCTGTCACCTCCCAGTAAGAGTGTCCTGCATTTTGAAACCAATTTCCACTCTTTGTAGAGTTTGCTTGTCCTCCCCGTATTTGCATGGTTTTTTTCCCCTTACACAGTCCAAATACATGCAACTTTAAATTGTCTATAGATATGTGGCTGTCTCTCTGTGTTAGGTCCTGTAATAAACTGGCGACTTGTCCCGTAATAAACTCCAGCAACCCCTTGCTCCTGGACAGATACGAGTAGATACAGACTTAGATGTTAAGAATTGTTGAACTCTGCTCTTTCAGGAGTACTGTACATTGGCAATCTGAGGGTAACTTGAGGAGATTGCTTCAAATAACTTCACTTCATCTTCAATAAGTACAACTTAAGTCAGCAATTTGGGCGGAAGATATCCAGGCTTAGGGTCTCACATTATCATATACCAAACTCCTTTATATTAGTTAGGTTTTTTTAACCCAGTGATTTTGTCGAGAACATGTGATTCCTCAAAAAGTAGGTTTTTATTTATTTTATTTTATTTAGATAATCATTCAACTAAACAGTGGTAGACTCAAGTATTTTGGAGCCTCTAATTGCCACCCCACAATGAATTAACAGAAGTGAAAGAGTTGTTCTAATGAATGCACATAAAACTATTTAAAAAATAAATCTGCCTCACAAAAAAAGCAATTCTGTATATAACAAATATTTGCACAACAACCAAAAATGTAAATGGTTGCAGCTTGCATACAGTATTTGCATTCAAATACATTTTTCTATCAAACATCTGCAGAGCATATTTTCAAAGATGTGTTGCTTTTCTTCTGAAAATCATCAAGCATTGCAGTTGCAGTCTAATGTATCCATGACTCAAACAACTGCTCATTCATCCTGTAATATGTGCTTCATAATTGTTTGTTTGCCTTTTAACTACTGCTTGACTGTGCAAAAACCGCCGTGTTGATAGCAAAGGATGAGGAAATGAATTGGTCATAGGACTGAATTCGTTTTTTAAAAAGGAGGCGGAAGAAAATATACACAGTTAAAAGGGTGAAATTGTGTGTTTATTGCAAAGTCCAAGGAGTGTACTGCATGATAGCTGAGGGATTGTGTTTTGGCCTCATGATTCATCACTGTGTCCTTTGATTGCTCTAAAAACAATCAAAGGTAATTAAATTCATGGTTCAGTTATATCAGGAAAGCAGGGGCAATGCGCAGATTCCTGTGTATATGCAGTTAGGCTGGACTGAGAGGAGGGATTGTTGTGTAGTGCAGTTTGTGCTATTTGGCTGGGAAGAAAAAGTGTATCAATAGTGCCACCACATGGAAAGGCCTGAACAGTTCTAATGGCTTTCTGTAAGCAAATCTTTTTTACAAAGAAAACACTCTATTGCTACATTTCAAGCAGCATTAATAGGAAAAGTGTGTCATAATATGTAACCCTTCTTTTCGCTTTATAATAAAGTGGACAAACCCTGAAATAAATTAAAACATCCGCTTTATTTCATATATTCAATTCAAACTCTTAGCAGCAGGCGATATGAAAATGAAGATAAAGAATAACAAGAATAACAGCTTGGCATTGTGCAAGTAATCATCATACAATAAAGCATATTTACTTAAAAAAATATAGATCTAATATGTAAAGCAGTGCATTTGGGCCAGCACGTTGAACTAGCTCTTGGAAAGGCTCCATTACAATTCTTTCGGCTCTTCATTGTTTCATCCACTGTCACAGAGTCCACCAGTTTCACCAACATATCACCCCCGATGGAGGTTTAATGTCAGCAAATCCGTAATACTGTAGACATCTGTTGGTCTCCAGACGGGGTGCAGGGAAGCCAAATGGGTCAAACTTGTCAGTATCAAACGTTTTTCTTTGGAAGAGCTCATCTGGTGCTCCTCCTCAGGCTCTCCACGGTCTGCAGGAAGGACCGCAGGGCTTGGTCCTCCTCCAGGGTGGAGCAGTCCTCCTCCTCCTCCTGAATGATGCCACACTGCATGCAGCGGAGGCGGGGCTCACGTTGTCCGGCCCTGCAGACACAAGCTGTGGACAGAGAGTGGGGGAACTCCTCCATCACCAGATACAGCAGATGGGCAGGGAGCGTGTCCATGCTGGTCGCCATGGTGAACGAATGTGAGGATGATGAGCTGGAGACGATGATGCACGAATTGAAATCCTTTCGTGTGAAGATCTCTAGTGTATTGGATGGGATGTCTCCACAAGTTTTGGTAAAGAAGATGCAACAAAAATCTGGAGAAAAAACCCCCACAATCAGGCCGAGCTGTTTAATATTCAGTCCTGAGGGCTCTGCTTCACGAGATGATTTCAGAGATCCTGTTTTGCTCGTCGCTCTGAAACTATGCTGTGAAATCTCAGAGAGAGTGATTGTGACTGAGCACCACCAAGCTCCTCTTTATATACTTCTCTGCAACCCACTCCTTTCTTCCTTTTGGGCATCCCTCCACACAGAGCCGCTCTCCCTCCTACACGCTCAGCGATGACACATTTCCGCAGCTTCCATACCAGTGCACCGGAAAAATCTCCCAGAAACTGTTGGCATGGGAACCGGACGGTGATGTTTGGGAGGAGGGAAGAGAGGCAGAACGTGAAAAAGCAACTCATTTGTATGGACTGTGAAGAAGACCAATAATGGCACAAGTTACACAAACTGATTGACGCTGCCATGTTTTATTAAACAGAAGAGTGTGTGGGCTTTTGACAGATAATGTTGGAGATGCCACTCGGTTTACAGACATGGAACACTTTACTCATGTGATATCTGACTCCAAACTCATTCATATTGTATCTAATACAAAGTTTGACACAACATGTAAACTAGAACTGACCCATCAGATGTTGCCATTGTATATAAATAAGCTAAGAGCTGTCCCATGGATATTATAAAAATAGAGAATGTGATACAAAAAGCAATTGACCCAAAGGTGAAACCAAGAATAACACATGGACTGTCGTTATTTGAATTAATATTTATTGATGGCTGGACAAATGTAATTTGATTACAGTTTGTTCTGCTTTCAACCCCAACATGCACCCCAGGTTTTAGGATTACACCTAATCCTAGAGTAAACACTTGACTGGAAGTTGGTCCCCTGCTGCTGCCTGCTGCACCTAGTCAGTGTGAGTAAAAAGTGTCTTTAGGGTTATTACAGTATAACTTAAAGCTGGTATCTTGACAAAGACACATGGAATGTGAGTGACAACATATTTAACACAAAAACTAACAAAAATGTAGCTTTCAAAAGAGAAAATCAAATAAATGTATCAGCTCTCATTTGGTTTGGTTCAACATTTTAGGAAATCAATCAATACAAGTGAAAAGATTGAGATGAATGTATGTTGTTGTACCTGGATCTAATGTATAGTGAGAGAATTTTAGTTTTAGGTTAGAAAGTCCTGCAAAACAGTAACACCAGTGGTACAAATTAATTTGAAAATCAATTTAGTTAGAAAATAAAACACCCATTTTAACATTCCACCAAGGCATCTCCCTCTCTGCTGGTTATCCATTTACAGCGGTTCCTCTTAATTAAACTAAACACGCACTGACTTCACCACTACATTAACACCTTTGAGAACATTTTAAGTTAGAAAAACCAAACAAGAGATAACTAAGGGTTTCGAATTGGTGCTGACGAAGAATCGTCTAAATCTGAGTGCAATAGAAATCCCATAGTAGGAGTTAATGAAGCTATTAATGTCAATAGATCTCAATAAAACATGTTTAAGGGCTCTAGAAAGAAAGTAAGTATCACCTGCAGTGTAAAACTAAAAAGGCTTAACGCTAGTAAACACATACTCAGATACACACAAATATACAGAGGCCTCAAACCTCACATGCATCCAAATTGTTCCCTCATCTAGGCTTTATACACCCTCATGTTGAACAGACAGATGGATGGATGGATGGATGTGGGAATAGTTTTTAGTTTCCACGTTAGTGTTCCATTCATTAAAGCTGATGAAGAGCACCACTTTGTTCAGTATTTTTATGTTTGAATTGAATACATGTACCGCTGCCTCACATCCTCAATGACAGGGAGTATCGGAGGGAGGGAAACTGGGATGTGGCCCAGAAACTGTCACATTCTGTCTTCCTGGTCCATGATGATGGTCGTGGGACGAGTGTTTAACACAGCTGGTCCCCTCTTCCTGCCGCCATGCGTCTATCTAACCCTGCTTTTGCTTCTTCAGGTAACGAGCGCGCTGGGACAAACCCATCCCCATCACGTGGCTGTTGAGGATCTTGGCAGGGAGCAGAGCTGTAGTCACCCAACCCTACAGAGGGAAATTACATGGTCAGCTGGTGGCCTTTACAAATAACAGATTAGCATTCATTATGTAGTTCCAACCCACAGGAGCTACAACTGCGGCGAGAACAAGGAAAACTGGGTAGATAGCGCTGTTTTACCGTCTAGTATGTGACAAAGACATGGCTTCACATCTTGCATATAGATATTTGGATATTTGATCAAAAGTCAATCCCTCAGTTGTTGTAGTGTCTTACAGTAAGCTGTAAAATATGGTCAACTCATCTTGCTGGATCAATTCACTGTTGTAGTATAACTTTTCTTGAAGAAATGCTCATTATTAGATAGTGCTATGATGCTTGGTATAATACAGTATAATAATAGTGTAATGTTAGGGTGTGTACACCGTCAGAACAGTGTTTCCATCTGAATGAGTGTGTAACTTCATGTGGAGAAGAGTAGCGGACTCTGCTGCTAAGGCTAGTGCGCATGTCTGTATAAGGGGCCCACTCTCTCGCTCTGAGCATGTATGTGTAGGTATATGTGTGTGTCAGGTTGGACGAAGGGGCCACTTTTAGGTTAAGGTTAATTATTATTCACAGTGCCTGAGGCTAATGAGATGCGAGGTTACAACTGGGAAAGAGACCAGTGGTAAGACTCCCCTCACTTGATAGTGAACTTTGGTGAAGGTCAAGAAGGGGTCAATGTGACGGAACGCCTCCAGGGCGCGTGTACGGAAGTATAAATCCAAACGTCTGCAGAAAGAGTTACGGTCACGTGTACGGAAGTATAAATCCAAACGTCTGCAGAAAAGGTTGCTGACAAAGAAACGTCACCAGGGTCAACCAATAAGGGACAAGAAGGCTCGCTATAAAAGGTGCGAGTGCAACGTTTGTTCAACAGTATGATCCCGGGGTCTGCTCGCTCTTTGATTATAAAATTAAATATTGCATCGAACTCTGTCTGCCTCCAGCCACTTCTTTTGAACCTGTTAGAATGTGATGGTATAGTGTTGAGAAGATCCGGTTTCAACTGGCCCAGATCCAACATCACCAAGCAGTTCAAATTAATGCAAAAAATGTGTTTCTGCTTTTGCTCAAATGTTAATTAAGCTTAATCTTGACAGTGTGGCAGTTATAAGTCATAAGAAAGTAGCAGTTCTATAAAGCATCATTAATGGTTATTTCATTGACTCACCAGATTTAATTAGTGAACATTTCTCTTTTTATTTAATTAAAAGTGTTTCTCATGCTGCTAATTTATCTTCAGCCTTGTTATTGTCTTAATTGAAATATATATTACAAAAGCTCAGTGGATATAATAATAGAAAATTAATGATGTTTGAACATGGTAATACACTTATTTATACTAAGGGCAATTCACTTACACATCCATTAAGTTTTATAATTTGTATTGGTATAATGAAATATCTCAAAGACTTTTTGCAACCCTAAAAATATATAGAATCTGGTGAACTTGTAGAAGGTTCCGTCTCACAGCGGTGCAAATTACGTTTTGGGTATGTGTGGATTATTACTGTGAGACGGGCAGAGCTGTACTGCACAATTGAAGGCAGAGGGATTATCAGATAATCAGAGCAGACGCTGCTTGTCTGCAGCTTTTGGTTTAGTGTAATATCAGAGCTAGTGACAGGGAAGATCTGTGCTGAGTTCACAATATCTGCACCATATCCAGTGAGTGCGCAGTATCCACAAAGGCTTTTTTAAGCTGATAAAGAACATTAGTGTTGATATTAGGGAGACGTTGTTCAGCAGCGTCTAACACAAAGTGGAGGAACTGGAGAAAATGTCACACTGAACTTTCTGCTGCTCGTGTCCCCACAGAATCATTTCAGTGTTAGAATTCAGACTAAACTGCCAGGTATTTAGATTTCAGAGGACGCTTTTGCTACATCATGCTGATTATATAAATGCACAACAATATGCGGAGGAAGATCTGGCCTGCAGTAGGATTTAAAGTTCCAACTGGCTCTTTCTGCTGATCTTGAGTCATTCTGAGTGGTGAGTGAGTTATGAGTACACGCATCTGACAACACAGTGCAGTTCTTCAGTTAAGAGTTAACACCCGTTTCCAAAAGATGAGAAACATCGACGGGAAGTTTGTGCCAGGCATTAAATAAAGCAGAACAGAACAGATAGAGGACCAATGAAGATTGCATTTCACTGAATCACCGCACCTTTTGTTCCCAAGAAATGGTCACAAAATTGTAACCCTCTGTTCTTTAATCCTAACGTTACATACCAAGACTTACCATAATGGCATGTGGCAGGTAGCCATTGGTCTGGGTCTGCAGACCCACCGTGTTGAGCTCGGCTGACACGTAGCGCTCTGGACTGGGCTTGTCCAGTGTAGCATGCCGGATTTTACTCAGCTTGGTTGCAACAAAAAATGGCAGAACACTCTGGGGGGAACAAAAAAGGACAAACACACGTGAACTATCTTGTTTGATAGCATGTTAAGAGTATCGATACATTGTTGAAACCACATTTCATTTTCTTTAAGCCTTAAAATGGGACACAGTGCTCATTTTTAGATTCATACTTATCTTGCACTGTCTGACTGAGTGTACCTGTATTTACCCACTGCCTGATCTGTTTAGGCACCTGTCTCTTTAAGCTACGCTCCCAAAAAAAGCCCAGTCTGCTCCGATTGGCTTGGAAAAAAAATAGGATTTATTTTGCAAAGGCAGTTTTCTAACTGTGGCTGGAAGAAGGGGGTTCATAAAATGTCTCCTTAAAATTGCCTTTTGCATGTACGAACTATCGTTATGAACCTTCATCATCCAAAGCATGCTTGAAGGAAAACTAAGGTTGGCTCATCTACCTGTATGATGATGCCTTTGCTCTTGTATTCAGCTTGCAGTCCTCGTGAAAAGAAGTCCACAAATGCCTGTTTAAGACAAAAGCAGGTCATTAAGTCTACAATTCCAGTCAAATAAAGATGGCAACAAACATAAAAACACATTCACGTACACATTGCTGTCACAATGTTAACGTGTAATGAACTGAGACGATCGTTAAAATGCACATTAAACTAAAGATTGACCCTGGATGGATTTTTGATAAACTTTTAAACCTGTATTGCAGATTGAAGGATTAAGTAGATAAACATGGCCCAGAATGAAGACACAAATTAATCGGCTGAAAGTGTGAGCAGCAGGCTGTTTTTAAGCTAACAAAGACACATGAGACCGTTATAAAATATTATGATGCCATATGCTCCTATAAACATTTTTAATTGGTACACTACCTCGGGACCCGGAGTTAGTCAGAGACTTATTTATGTTCAACAATTAAAACGGCAAATATGAAAAAGGACACTTTATCCCTGCGTCCAAATAAAGGCTGAACAGACGTTAATCTTCATCGGTAGTGCCTCAGTGTGTGTTAGTTAGAGGACTAGAGCAGGGGTGTCAAACTCAAGGCCCGTGGGCCAAATCCGGCCCGCAACCTCATTGTATGTGGCCCGCAAGAGCTTGCAAAGAATATAATACATTACAATTGGTGTAATTGTTGAATATTTGCTTTCAATTATTTGCCCTAGACTTCTGCTTTCAGACGTAGTTAATTATGAAGTTATTACCAGAACTGATAATAATCCAATGCAGAGCCAATCATGTAATATAATATATTATTTTATATATATATATATTTATTTAGTCTTCAGAATCAGAATCAGAAACAGGTTTATTACCAGGTAGGTTGACACGTACGAGGAATTTGATTTGGTGTTGTGGTGCATATATAAAAGTAAAACAAAAATTAAAAACACAGATAGAGATATTTTAAGAAAACTATAATAACATAAACAATATATAATAAAAAATATAAAAAATGTAGTCAAATATAGCAGTATTTACATAGAAATAGAATGGAATAAAATATGTGCAGTAAACTTAAAGTTACAACCGGCCCTTTGAGTGCAACCATAATGCTAATGTGGCCCGTGATGAAAGTGAGTTCTGACACCTCTGGACTAGAGAGATCAACTCCTAACATGAGGAAGAAGATGGATTCCTCCTCATGGAGCGCAGGATGTAAACCGTTAATGGTCCTGGGATGCGTCTATCGAAAACATGTCAGTTAACACTTGAAGAAAAGGCCATAAACCATGTACTCCAATTACCTTAGAGGCAGAGTAGACGGTAAGGAGAGGGAAGGGGTACATCCCACTGGCAGAGGAGATGTTGAGGATGGCACCCTTCTTCCTGGAAACACAGGAATATAAGCAGAGGATCCTTTACTCTGAATAAAAACGTCCTGAAATCAATCGCAGTGTGATAGGAGAACATGGCACTGTGTGTGTGTGTGTGTGTGTGTGTGTGTGTGTGTGTGTGTGTGTGTGTGTGTGTGTGTGTGTGTGTGTGTGTGTGTGTGTGTGTGTGTGTGTGTTAGCTGAAGCAAAACGGCTCCATTTGTATTGTGAAGAAGAGATGGTAGATATTGATCAAAGATACTGTAACATCAATTCCTCAATGTATAAGTGTTGATATACGTTGCTACAGCCTGTGGTGTGTTCATACAATATTTAATATAACCAAGAGGTGGATGATATTTTGGATGTGTATATGATGGCCGGGCAAGTGACAGCCTTCAGACTTACTTTGCCTCAGCTACAAGAAATATCTGAAACCTGTATAAGTCAGCTGTAAAGCAGAGTTAACGATTCTATCACATAACAATACCCAATGTAACAGATGGTACAGTATGCTATTTATAAAAGAGACTATATTCCTTTTAAAGTAATAGTGTTGTCAATTTAAATAATGTTTCTATAGAGCTATTGCAAATAACAAGCAGTTTGAAGGTCAAGTTTATTAAGACGGGTTGTTCAGTGTGCAATATGTGAACAGCTTTGTTGTCCTTTGAGTTATTGTATAAACGGGTCACTATGATGCATTATGGGATGCTGTGGTGGTTGATACAGTTCAAATCAATGTCACAATTTAAATCAAAATATGGAAAATATGGAAGATAAATTGTTGACATCATCTTCAGTGAAATAAAAGTTAGAGTTAAACATTGTGGGAAATGTGCTTATTAAAAAGGAATTTGCTGCGAATGGCATAGAAGTAGTTTGGCAAATAACCGTCATACTAGGGCTGTGCGATTATGGCAAAAATCATAATCACGATTATTTTGGTCAATAATTGATATCACGATTATTAAATACGATTATTCATTGACTTTGAAAACATCCATTTATTAAACTTTAAAACAAATAATAATTTGAACAGTGTCTTTTTAACTGTTGATTATCCTGAGCGTATAATTCAACTGAAAAACCAATACAAAAATAAATGATATCAAAATAATAAATACCAATAAACAAGATCAACAAATATTTGGGAGCACACTTCAACAAGCTACTAAACATATATAAATATGATGAATAAAAATAAATTAGACTAAAATAAATTAGATCAAATATGTCACAACCTAGCAAAGCAAAATAATCGTTTTTTTCGATTATGTTGTTTTTGTAATTGTGGCAGGCCAAAATCGTAATTGCGATTAAAATACGATTAATTGCACAGCCCTACGTCATACAACCACTATGAGATTACACTTCAGTTCATGTACTGATCAAATCATTACGATATAACACTGAAGGCAGAGTTTTTTTTTACTTTGGAAAGAGTGCAAAACCTCCAGCTACACTTTTAGAACAATGCGCAGGGACGAAAATGAATATGCATATTTCCCAAAATATTCCTAAACTATCCTTTAGCCTTTGCATTTCACACACATGTTCAGGTGTATAATGGAAACAAACCAATTCATTTGAAAGGTAGTCATTGATTAACACGACACATTTTTATAAAACATGACACCAACCACTCAAGTCAAAGCTCTCTATAGCGCCTGATTGTGCCATTTGTGCCGGCGGTAATTACTACCAATCACAGTATTGTATCAGCAAAGCAATTATTGTTGAAAACACACGTCTTACCTCTCCACCATTCGAGGTAAAACAAGTCGTGTCATCTGGGATAAACAGTGGGAAGAGAGATGAAGTGTGAGAAACATAGTGAAAGCATTAGACTGACAACAAATGGCCTGTTGATGTGTGGGTTGTGGATAAGTGTGCGGAGGTGTGCATAAACATTTGTAACCGTGTGTGTGGGTAGTTTTCAGAGAGGTGGTCGTGGAGGGAAGAGAAGAAGAGAACGGGACTGATAATGATCGCAGAGGGAACAGTTTGAAGGAATATTGATGACATAAATGGAGGTGTAAAGAGAGGGGGTGGACTTTAGCTGCTGCTCTGGGAACTGCCAAACATGGAGAAGAGCGACGGAAGTGACTTACTATACTTTCCACGAGTGTGTGTGCGAGTGGGTTTATGGTCTGTGGGACTATCTGACAGTGGATATCAAACTATGTCATCCATTTGAATCTACTTGGAGAAACTTAATTATTTAAAAGGCAACCCAGATGCCACAGTGAGACATACAACACACATTAATGAGTCAATATCCACAAAGTGCATTTTGAGCAGGGCGATCCACTAATTATGATAATATAAACCAAGTGTCTTCAAAATCATTTTAGCACCGCTTAAACTTTATCATTTTGTATTACTTTGAACTTGAATAAAACGCAGACAGTTGGCTGTAATCACTGCCAAAAGTGCCCGTAGTAAATTTCAACTTGAAAAGGGGAAATACTTATTGGTTTGATTTGTTTCATCTTTGACACTAAAATGTCCTTTTTTGGTGGAGTCAAAAAGCTCCAATGACACATCAAGGTTTTAGATCACACTCACGTGGCACACAGACATTATGTTGATGTTGACCATGGTGTCGATGAACTGAAACAAGAAGAACAGGAGCTTTGCTTCAACCAGGGTTGCGTGTTTGTGTATTAACATACACATATTGTTCAGAAATCTACACAATTCTATTTGTACAGCAGGTATTTCAGATGTCGTCTTGGGATTTATTATAGCACAAGAAGATAGACAAGGGCTGTCACTATGTACATCTTAAATATGAACCAGCATAAACATTATCTTACAAATGAGAAGTGTAATTATTAAGCAATACAACTCACTGTTGCTCAATTGGATGGTGCTCCTACAATCTTTCTTAGCCTGGATAACCACCAGAAGCTAATGGTGGCCAATATTAGCTAAATGTAGGTGGACATTGCAGTTGTATTATTAGCGCTCTATTGTACTTATGATACACTGCTCTTTAGTATGTGCGATATTTGCCTTCTTTCAGCAGAAATAACATAGGATTGCTTTACGCAGACAAGATAGTTTAACTGCATTATGTTACGAAAAATGAAAGCATTTTCCAGTTCATATTTAAATCGTACTGAGATGGCCACACTATCCAGTTTCATTATGTCTGAAGCGTGGTTCTGATTGCACGAGTTGCCTATTCAATGTAAGGCTGAAAGAATCATTTGAGCCCAAAACAAAATGTGACAAAAATACATAAACTACATCTTATGGGATCTGCTATTATAGCCACTTCCCTTCCTTTTTAATCTTCACAAGACTGCGTGATATTATAAATATAATCCTTTATAAATTCATGGCTAATAGAATAATAATAACCATCAAACTTACAGTCTCCAGGTCGGGAACGTTGAGGAAGAATTCAGGGTAAGAATAGGATATTCCAACATTGTTGACTATAAACAAGAGATAACAAACAGGACTGTGACATAATACAAATAGTACATAATACTGTAAGAAGATGTTAATGAGTTCAGAGTGCTGTTCCTCTTTCTTATCTTAGGAGGGCAGCAAAGGGCTGAAGGATAAATTAACCTGTATGATTACATGAAAAACTGACATTTAATAGAGTGGAGTTTAAAGCATTCCTTAAGTCTGCAGTTCTTGATTTAGATTGACTTTGGGATCTCAAATGGGAAAATAATTCAAAGTGAGGTGGTCTAAGTCTTACCCAATACTCCGATCTCCAGTCCTGCAAGTCCATCTTCAATCCTGGAGTAGATATCTACGGCGCTGAAGTCTGCTGCGATCGTTTTGGTCTCCACGCCACATTTACTCGCTGAGGGGCACACAATATTTTCATTTTGCATATATGACAAGCGATGAAACATTTAAAGTGTTTAAAGCTTGACTCTTTTTCTTACAAATAGTCACATGAAAAAGGAAGAGCAGAGGAGAAAAAATTAAACCCTGAGATAATCCGTCTTCATCAATGAGGATATCCCTCCCTTAAGATGAAGCTTTTATTTAATTGGACAGATTCCATTTAAGCTCCAGCAGGAGGCTTTACTGCCTCCTAGCCAAAGCACAGGGGTCCTGCTCAATCTCCACTCAATAAGGACTCACTGATGGAAAACCTGCAACTCAATGTAATATCATTTAGTCTTAGTCATTTAGCCCTGCTGCCCTATCACAGTGCAATATGGATGCAACATTTCACATTCAGGATAAATGAGGCTGTGTGGATCATTAAGCTTCACTTTAGCAGCTGTCTTATTTCAACACATGAACTACATCATGAACTACATCAGTCCTGTGCCTTGAGCCACAGGTACTCTTGATTTCCCCCCCCCCCCCCGCTGTAACATGTGGGATTAATTAGATTGAAGGATTAAGTAGAGTCATATTATGATAAAGCATGTATTTCACCATGATTTATATGCTACTCATCTAAAGAGTTCTTTACTATGCATTCATTTTCCAAGTTGGGCAACATTTGTCTGCAATCAAATGTTTATCAAAATCTAAATAATTCAGGCAACCCACCGATCGCCTTTGAAACGTCATCCAGCTTCTCCTGAGAGCGGCTGATCAGCACGATGGCAAAGCCTCTGCGGGCGAGCTGTAAACACAAACAACATGTCAATAAAGCACTCAGTTTGCTGGAAACAGGGTGGAAGCTAAAAAGTTATTTATGGGATATTTACCACTTCATTAAAAGTTGTGCTTTCAAATAGAGTTATGGAGTTGTACATTAGATTTTGACCTGACATTTTAGTTCTAAACTACTCAAAAAGCAAAAAAGCAATCTTTTTTCTTTTTTTTTTGGCCAGCACTCCTAAAATGTTACTTTGGAACTGAATAAGATTAATCTTGAAGGCACGGATCTGAAAGCACAAACTTGTGAGGGACCGTTTGCAGAAGCCTTTATATTCCGGAGCAAGAAAATAAATCTTGTAAGTCTTAACTACACAATATGATGACTGGTAATTACAGAGACAAATGAAATGTTTGCAGAACCAGGATTAAAACACACCTACTGCAGCTTACAAACCACCCCTTCAAGTACAAAACACCATGTCATAATATACAGGGTTCATACATTTTTTCACAAATGATTTTCAATGACTTTTCCATGACCTTTACCTAATTTTCCATGACCAAAGAAATTGTTTATTTTAACATGGAACAGGAAAATAAGGTCTGTATATGAAACATGTTGTGCCTATCTAAAACAAATCAAATAGGCTTACTAGCTTCTACACGCTAAAGCAACTAAAATCTCTCACCAGCAAAATACCTCGTCAGTTAAATGCCATTTTACGTTTCATACAGTATTTATTATCATTATAGTATTACTATTTCGGCGATTAGATCAAATATAAATTATATTTGATGCAACTTTAGTTACATTTACATGACTTTTCCAAAACTTAGGGAAAAATATTGTTTTCCATAACTTTTCCAGGGCCTAGAATTAGCTTTTTGAATTTCCATGACTTTTTCCAGGTTTTTAATGACCGTAAGAACCCTGAATATAAGTGTTCCAAGTAATAATATGTAGGTGTTTCCCCCCCCCCCATCTAGTTTCACTGTGGCCCTGTGTTGTTAGAGTCTGAAGTTTTCCAGAGCCGGGAAATCATACCTCTTCTGCGTAAGCTTTCCCGATCCCATCTGTGGCTCCTGTCACGACTAAAAAGGAAAAAGGAGAGATAGAGACCGAAATCAGCAAGTTTTATATCACATTCTTTTAAAATATGAAAACACAAACTTTAAATGAGGCAAGATATGTTCATCCATATGAACTGAAAAAAATGCAAAATACAGAAACGACTATAGATTACTTCTATCAGCATAGATGTGGGCTCAATTGGAGCTCATCAAAACTGAAAAATGGATTCTTAGACTTATCTATATGCCCCTGTGTCAGGGTCAAACCATCTGTATTATTCTGCTGCTATATTAGCCTTCACTCATGCAGGAAGAGTAGACTCAGAGATTTTAAACAAATATGAACACAGCCCAGAAAAAGAAAGCGCCACATATGAACAGATGAAGTGCGCCACCTCCAGGAGAGTAAGCGCCACAGAAATCCAAGGATAAAGATGTCAGAGTTATGGACTGCTTGACAGCTAAGGGCTCCGTGTTAAGGGCAGTACAAAAAAAAAGAAAAAATGATAGACAAAAGTTCGAAGAGGCATTCGAAACATATAAATGAATTGACTTGTAAGGGTAAAGGGCTACATTGGAGTGTAGTCAGATATACTGAGGTACACGGAGAACAGACGAGGGGAATAAGGAGGACGAAGAGAGAGGAAGAGTGATAGAGATAAAGAGAGTGAGGTCCTCTCCTTCAGCAGCGCCAGTGAAGCGAGCGGATGCCCTGGAACTGCCTGGCACAAACAGCAGCAGCAGACTATTTTTAGCAATTCCCGTCTTCAAAAGGAACTATTCATCACACCTCTGGCTAAATATAAAAGTGGGCGCGAGTGGGATAGAGGGTCAGGGCGTTCCGATATGTCCCTGAATGACATGCAAAGCCCGGCTCAAGGAGCATCCTATTCCTGTGTAAACTTACACCCTGTGTATTTAGGTCGTACTATGTGTGATTATTATTTTGTTCTTATTTACTGGAAATGTTTTCTTTCTCGTTTGTTGTTTGGACCTACTCGTGAGAGTGAGGGATATTTATGGTTTAGGTCCAATCAGTCATAGTCATCGAAAGATTAGAACACTTTAGACAAAAGTTGTTTTTTTGGTTGTTCCTGTGTGCTGCCATTGGTTTTGTTTTGAACTACAATTCAGGTGATTAAAGAACATTAGCAGAATATGACAGAGCAAGCCAGAGACAGCTCTGTGGGGGAATGAAGCATCCCTGATGGAGGAGGCACCATCACAAGAGGGAGATAAAGCAGTAAAATGACACATGTTACTCTAGTCATGTCAAAGGAGCATGTGCTTCATTTGAAAGACTGCAGGTTCAACTTTCATTGTTAAGGAACTGAGGTTGCCTTTTGGTTGGCAACCCCAATTGGTCAATGCAGTTGTCTCATTAAAATGAGTCCAAGATTCAGTCTCACCATTTTGTATTTAGACCAGGAATGCATTGAATCTTATTTTTTCTTTTTCAGAATCAGTGTTGATACTAGGCGTGTTACGATGTAAAGCAGTAGTGACAATAACCATGATGTTAAAAAAATGAAGTGTTGATATAATGTTGATAATACATACATACAAATGTTTAGTATATTATTAAGTGCCTCTTAAGTTTAACCGTCCATTAGTGAAACTGTTTGGTTAGAGACGCTATCAACCTCCCTCTATTCATATTTTGAGTGTAATTAAGATACCAAAACAAATAGTTTTATTATATCAACCTGCCATATTAGTTAAGTAGTTCCTAATTAAATATGTATTTTGTTTCTGTGGTTCTACTGTTTATAGGCATGTGGTTAAGTAAAATACTCTCTAAGTGTACTAACAGTGCAGAGAAACCATACATTTCATATTTGTAATTACGCAATACTAATGTTTTAAGTTAGGAAGAGTTTCAAAATCAATATCTGGTGGAATCACACCAAACTATTTAATATTTCTCTCACTGCTCCGTCCATCTACCCTTTGCAGTACACATGTGCCCCTTTTGTGATCTTGCTAAGCACAGATGATGCCGAGGTGCCGAGCATCGTCTAGGGCTGCAGCGGAGACAAACAGGAGGGAGGGTGGGGGGGAGGAGGGAGGGGAGAAAATGACAAACACGAACATGGGGGATCCTGGGGCCACCTAAAAATAGCACGGAGCAGAGGAGGGGAGAGTGATGGGGCGTCTGCAGGCACGATGATTAGGGAAACAGGCTGGGTTATTCTGAGCGGTTTTAAGAATTAACTATATGAAGTTGGAACAGAGAAAATGGAAAGAAGCTTTTACAGCGGAGTGCATGTTCCCTCTCGTCAAATCAACCAAAGTCTATTTTAGGAACGGCTGTCTTCTCCGAATGTAGGTTAGACAGGCTGGGTGCTCTGATGATGGAGCTGCTCTGTGTCCGCATGGGGTTATTGGGTTTGATAGCCAGCTTCATTCGATTGTGGAACATAATTGAAGGACTGGAAGTAAATCACAATTATATGCACCTAAAATATATATAATAAGTCCAGCCCTGCTTCCGGAGATGCTTTATCTCCACTAGTGGCCTATGTCATGCAGAGATTTTTGCTAGAAGACACGTTTTGTTTATTATACCAATATCCGCAATCTTTGTGTGGCCATGTGTGCACGTTGTGGTCTGTAAGCAAAGTGTACACGCAGGATTAGACTATGGGCTAGCTAATGACATGTCAACAGTGACATAATGAGAAGAAGTACAGACGTCACAGCAGAGACAGAGGCTATTATTGCCACCGTTCTTCGGGGGGGGATTTGTTCTGCCTTGGTTAGGAAGAGATCTAAAGCAAACGGCAAACAGAGAGTGATCAACCAACTGTGATGTAGAGGGGAAACCTTGATTCCTTTAAAGATTGGTTGATTGGTGTAAAATAATAAGGAACGATTTGTAATAATCCATTGTTTGTTTCGATGAAATGCTGATTTATCTAACAGCAAACTGAACATCTTTGGGATTTGAACATTTGAAGATGTCACTTGAAGTTCACGGATATAAGACGGGACATCATCATATGGAATTTTCTGTCATTTCATTTCAAATAGTCATTTGTTGCAGCTTTAATTTAATGTAACATTGCATGCCCTATTGTAACATTTAAAACAATACAATTGTTCACTTCTGTGTCTGAAACACCAGGGTGATGAGTAATTATAGAACAAATGAAACCATTTGTATGAGTACATATGTCAGCGTTAGCATCAGTGACTGAGCCCTGATAAACTAAATATAGCTTTTATTTTGTCCCATCATCCGGTTGATAATACAAAGCTATTTAAAAAGTATGAACGTGGTACCAAAGCCCTCACAAGTTTGTAATTGAATGTTTGTGTACAGTTTGTATCTCAAATGCATAACTAAGAAGATACAATTGATCACAATTGACAGCATATTTCCATATACAAGCAGTGACATGATCGTGAGGAAGTAGCTGAAACTTTCTACATTTTGTTTCTTAACTTAAAGTGGACCTATCATGCTATATTTGAATAATATAGTGTAGGACCATACCTATATAAGGCATATTTATACTTTTTTTTTTCAAAATACCAAACAGATCATGCATTTTAGCCATGCCTCATTTTGCTCAATTTGACAATTTTTAGCTCTGTTTTTGCAAGGGCTGATTCAGTGAGAACAGCACCACCTACAGGCCTGGCATATGTACTACAACGTCTCCAGCGCTTTCGAACGGCAATGGCCGTGGCTGTCTCCTCCTGATTGGTGGAGTTGGCCCAATAGCCGTAGCGCCACCGTCCTGACGTCAGGACAGTGTTCAAATCTGGATCAGTTTTGATCAGATCCGTTGCAGCCCCTTTTTTAGAGATTTGGGTATGGAGGAAAATAGAGAGGGTTGTGTTTTCTGACACTTGGTGAGTTCCCTGGAACACCGGGGACACATATTCATGTATAAAAGACGTACAAAAGTGCATTTTGCATGATAGGTCCCCTTTAAATAATAGAAGCATTGTCTCAGATAGCATTATAATATAGTGGCTCTCTGTTATACTGCCACAGACTCATACACAAGAAAGTGAGATGTGGGTACCAGTGAACCTGCATCCCGAGGATCCTGCGTCTCATTTATGAATGGCTCGGGTTACATAATCAGGCCGTCCTTTTCAATCGAGTCCACCTCGCTAAGACAAATGTTGTGAATGAAGGCAGTGGCAGCAGCCAAGGCTAACGGGCTCGTTTGCCTCATCGGATATTCTGAATAATTTTGCATGTGTGATCCAAAAATAAATAAACCCGTCTGACGCGTTCCCATTTTTAGCTGGCGGAAAAAAAGATCAAAGCGCGCATTCCTCTCAACATTTGGGTTTCTCTGGCAGCCTGATGCCACTGTGACTGCACAGGCTGAAAAAAGACTGCTCAGATATTTTAAGAGGGAGCGTCTCAGTGAAACGATCAATATTCACACATCAAATGATTCAGGATCGGGATTTAAACACTGAAAATGGATGAAAGATTTATCCGAAAACTGACTAGTAACAAGGGTTTTTCTTCCACTGAGCATTGAGGATATACGTTTTTCTTCCAAACTACTATATGATTATATCAATACTTATACAGATTTATGTAATACCAGTGGTCCGACAGCTTATTATGCTATCATGTGAACCTTGGACACCAACATTACAACATCAAATCCATCCCAGCAGTCTGTTCAAACTGCAAGGGTCAGTCAGTGAGCCGTCTGGACAGATGGACAGCATTCAGTGTGATTTGATAATCCCCTTCGAGCCATAATCCCATGACAAGATTTACTCGAGTTTACACCAGATGACAAAAGGCTGATCATTCCCTGCCCTTTCTTTATTCCTTGTTAAAATGACCACAGACTAACACTGACCGCAGTCTGCTGCTGGGACAAAGGAGCTATAGTGTGTCACAAATGTGTGTGCTGGAGAAACACCAGTAGACGGGAGACTTCAAAATCAACAGTGTGAGACAGGCAGGGTGAACTTATCATGCAGCTGGGACACAGTGCACCAGCACAGTGCTGTACATGGTGTTCATGTCCTGTGCCCAGAACAACACTCAAACATTACTTCATCCATGTGTGCACATAACTGACAGTTTTAAATTGAGAATGTTCAAAATCAGTTACACCATTTGACTGAAAATATTCGTTCTTATTCAAGTTATTTAGTGTTTTCACTTTAGGACTAATGTATGTTTATTATATTTTAGACTAACAAAATGGTCTCTCTCGACTATTAAATATATTGCTCTGCTATTGCTCTCACTTTGTCCCGACAAGATTGTAAAATGTATTTATGGGTGTAAATATTAAAAGCAGAAAGTGTTCCCTAACTTCCCTAAATGCAGCTCCTGTTCCAAGGCTTCATTGTTCAACTGCTAAAGCTGATAAGACCGTAGGATTTAAAGACTAATGTTAAAAGTTACATTTAAAAATGTTAGCTGTTGCTCCATATGATTAAACACAAAATAGTAGTATTGGACGCGTGAAATTGTTAAAAGCTGAGCTGCAGGTCAGAGATTCTGGAAGAGGTCAGAGTTGCAACAGAATATCATTTCCAGCCAGAAGGGGTCAGTGAGCAGTGGTTGTAAATGTCTGGTTAATACAACCACAAGGAGGGTTCAAGTTGATTCAAAAGTAACAGTCATAAAGTACTGTACTTAAGTACTTTGTAGGTTATTGTATTTTACTTGAGAATTTTCATTTTCTGCTACTTTCTATTTCTCCACTACAATTCTAAGGCTAATAACGTACTTCTTACTCCACTCCATGTATTATAAATACTTCACTTTGAAAATTAAGATAAATAAATCAAAATAAAATTATCAATTAAAAGATAGATTAGCAATAAGCATTATAGAATAAGATAAAGCTGTATTGATCTTACAAGGTGGAAAAACACAAGCTAATTAAGGAGTAAATTAGATAAAGTAAATAAGACGGATAAGCTTTTTCTTTACAAGTTGCAGCATTGGAGTAATGTGCACAATATTGTGAATACAATATAATGATATATGCATGACCCTGAAATGGGCCATTGTGTATGATGAGTACATTTACTCTTGCTACTTCATATATGTAGATGACAAAACGTACATGTTATCATTTGATTGCAGGACTTGTTCAGTACTTCACCTCTGCTCCCCTTGGGAACAACCAGGAAACTACATGACTATACCAACATTTAACATGCAATGAACTTAATAATACAAATTAATATGACGAATTAGAAATTAACTGACTCCAATTATAACTTTGGTTATTTATGTCTGTATGATATTTTATCTTGAATTGTTTCACGCTTCTCTGTGGTCATACAGTTCAGATAAAGAACCTACCTGCCCATTTCCCCAGTCTGGTGGGGGACACGAGCTTCCCGTTGCCCAGCACCCACACCCTGAGCCCGGCCAGCAGCCGGTACACGGAGCTCACGGAGAGCCAGGCCGCGGTCAGAGCTCCGAGGACCAGCAGCGGCGTCTCCACCGCCCGGAACACTGCTTCTCCACTGGACGACATACCTGCACAGCACACTCCTAAGTCTGCTTTAACTGTTTATAGTAACGCCTGGATTTATAAAATATGTATTCATGTAATAAAAGTGTGCTCAAAGTGCAAATGCATGCGTCCTAAAAAAGGATTGTTGCTTGCTTCCGCGTTTTACACTTCCGCATTAGAGCTTGGCTGGCTGTGATTGGTTCCTCTTCTTCTTCTTGAGCTGATCGTATTAGTAAATAGCAAGGTATCTCAGCTCTACTACCATCTGGTGTTATACCGCAGTCCTCCGTGTCTTCCGTCCCGTAATTTGTATGTATACATTTACATAAAATAAAGAATATAATGTCTTATATGATATGGCATTTTCTTAGCTGTCATGTTGTTTTATAGTGTATGTCTTTGTCACTAATTTTCTCTTCATGCTCATTATGTTGCTCATCGGCCAAGTTGGGTAAACTTTTCTTTATGATATAAAAAAAATGCAATTCGAGCTGCAATGTTTTACATTGAACTGTAAATGTTTATTATTTCTGAGAAGGTTGAAATACCTTAAAAGGATATTCTCTTACCATAATGTTTGAAGTAAAACAAGAAGTATGTGTCCTGTCAAAATTGTTCATCCATTGTATTAGTTTTATGAGAATATAGCCGCTTTTGGCTTTTGGTATACAGTAGCAATCATTAGAAGTATTCATGAAATATACTCACAATATCGTGAGAAATACATCATGTACATCTAATGAAACCTGAGAATTCTGTGAGATTTATTTTGAGTCTATTTTACCAAAGGGGCCTAAATGTGGGTAAAAAGTAAAACTACAAAACAGCCCTATGCACGATATTTCTTGAATTTGTTATTTTGTGTTCATTGTAAAAAGAAAATTGTTTTTATTGTTTTTGCCATCAACACGTATCCTTTTGAATTTTATATCTTTCTTCATAGAAGTAACAACACAATTAAATCTAACTTAGAATACACACACACACACAAACACACCACACACACAAACACACTCACACACACAGACACCACAGAGTACACAATTCAGCCAAGTGGAGCAGACAGCAGCCGTCCATGATGTGAGAGTGAGCGTTACATAAGAGCATTGCATCTAAAAATAGAAATGCAGCAATGGTAAACAGGAGTCTAAACTGTTGGCTGTAGGCTTTCAAAGTAACCTGAATGAAATGTAGATTAAAGAGCCATCTCGGACATAAATGGACCAGCTGCTCATCATAACCAGGAGAGCGTGACAGGCGAGTAGCAGGCCTGATGTCTGTGTGAGACGGAGTGTGAACGAGGTGGATGAAGCTGGTTAAGTTGTACATTGATGAATGAAGAGAGAAGCTAATTTGTGACATTAACAAAACATATGAAACCAGTGGGAAAGTAACAGAGGTGTATACAGATCTTTTGATCATATGGTGCTCAGACATTCAGCATATTGACGGATAGCTCCTTACAATTATCTCATTGTTTGTATTTGTCATTTCTGAGAATAAACCTCATTGATATAAGAGATATCGTTATCGAACACTGTGTACATTCAGGATAATATGAATGTAATTGGACTAAACGCACACACATACAGTAGAGGCAGAACACCATATTCACAGAGCAATTATTACAAATATTATACTTTATAAACTCAAGTGGATTTTACAAGACATAACACATTATATTCTGTGTCTTCTTAACATCTGTTAGGTTCACAAGCTTTTATTTATGTTTATTTCATGTGTTTATTTCAGGAAAACATCACACTTATAATTGCTGTGGTTATTTTCACGAACACTAAACATGGAAAAGCAATAAGGACACATTATAGAAGATTTCACTTTGCTTTTATTATACAGCTGTTACATGAAAGGTGTGAAAAGCCTTATTAATATTGAAACATATAGCATCATCCGAAACTAACCATGCACACACAGTTAACAAATCAATTGATTTATAATTCAATTTTGTTTTACATAATCCACAGACATTATGATATGTTTGAAAAAATAAAATAGAAAGGATATTACAAAATAAGACTTATATAAAATGTTAGGTTTAAATACATCAGTTAAAACAAATAAATGGAGACAAGACACACATGGAGGGAGGACAATTGTGAGGTAAAAGTTAACACACACACACACAAACACACACACACATTATTGTCTCTGCCTTTTGTTAAATAAGAACCGCCACAAATTAATTATTCAGAGAAATATTCATTTTCTTTAGGAGCCTTAACAGTTATTGTGTACCTCGTTGTTTCAAGATAGTTGAACAGTTCTTTAGAGTGTTAGAAGAATGACAAGCAGATTTCAGTTGAAGTCTGTTCCTGGTTGCTTGGTGTGAGTGTAGTAGTCCTGCATTCAAAATGTTGTTTATATAAAAGTAGAAAAGTATTAGCATCAACCCATATCAATTTCAAAGAAAAGCACTAATTCTGCCTAACAGCCCATTTCAAATGAATATTATACAATTGAAATATGTGTTCACTGTTCGTGTTTGAGCTGGAACAGAAGGAAAATGTTTCAACTACAAATGCTGACCTGTACTTTGTGAATCTCACCGAGGAAATAAAACTGTTTATCCAAAACTTTCATAGTACACTATGAAGTATTTGTTGATTATATTTTGTATTATTGATTTGAATCTTCAACGTATCAAATTGTGGGTTATCATAGATTACAAAAAAAGTCTGTGGGCTTCTGTGAATATTTATACATGCAGAACACAGTATTGCATCTAATTTTATTTCAGAATGTATTCGACCAAGAATTGTAAAAACGTATTTTCTATGGATTTATTTCTCTTTCACACACATACACACACCTGCAGAAGTACCATTATAACATGGATGTGCATTGACTCCTATAGACATTGACCTGTGTCTTGCCTTTCAGAAAACATACATATTTAAATGCTCATTATCAGACAGTCATAGAATACATAAATACATTTAGAAATTCCTCTTTAATGTATATGTGTTGTTGACTATACATTGTTTGTCCACTAACAGAACATTACAGCACATTACAAGCTGTAGGTTTGGTTCTCACGAAATCCTAAACACTTTCTCAAAACCCCAAATCCCCTAATGATTTGCAGAAAAGGACCAGAAGGTCTATTATGACATTAAATGTAAACCCCTTAAAAGAAAATCACACACAGTATCCCTATATTTCTCTCAAATAGAAATTGTATTTAAGACTTTTGAAATGATCTGGTTTTGTTTCACTGTATTAAATAATAGTTTACCATTTATGACTTTTTACAAAGTTATTGTCTCCATCCTCACGCCACATAAGACAGAGAACTACCGAAGCAGACCAGTGTGTGTATTTTGTGTAATTGTTATTAATTCTCCTCTAAGCAGGTGAGCTGATTAGAAAGATGGCCTGGAGGTGAAATCGCAGGGAGAGGGAGGCTTAAGCACATTCTCAATCCCCTGAAACAGGAGCTCCCTGCTCACAAGAGCCAAGGGGGTTTTCTTATTGCTCATAGGTGAGACCCCAGGACCTAGGGTCTCCTCTATGAAGTGACTCTTATTCAAATATCTCACAAAGCAAATTGAAAGGGCTCAGTATTTCATGACGGATTGACAAAAAGCAACATAACATATGTAAAACTGAGGGTAAGCTAGGGTTAGGGCAATAATCACCTGAGGTTTTCAGTGTGTGTGTGACTAATCATTTCATTTGAACACAGAAGGTTTAGTTACAAGTTCCTGCCCGTTGAAGTGTTTGCACACTAAAACATGATGAATCTTTGAAGATCAATACACTGGCATGTTGTGACACATACAGTAGTTTAGTGCTGAGCCTGAACAGGTTCAAATGAAATCCTTTGGAAGGCTGGTAAATGATTAGGGCTCATTCCTTACTTGCAATAATAAGTAGACATAGATTTTGTTTTATTGTAGATAACACTGATCAACGAGTATACTATACCCAAATATTGTTGTTGTAAAGGAAAAGTTGCGTAGACAATCTGTATTTCCATGCTTGTAATATTTGGTGATCAAGAAGAAGAAGAACAACAACAAAACAAGAACAAGTTGTACATTTCAGGGTGGTATAAAATACGTAAAATGAATGCACGGCTATGGTGCATGAACATGTTTACAGACGTTTTTGCTTACAATGAGGAAAATCTAAGGTTTACTTCTCTCACAGTTTTCCTCACTCACTCTGTGGATTCCACCTGCTGACCTCACAGTGGTCAGGTCACTGCTGCCGTCTCCCAGCATAGTGTGTGTGATGTACACAACCTGTCAGTTCAAAAGGCACAGACAAACACAAATAGGATAATATGAAAAAGTAGAAGAAAATGATGTCATGCTTGTTTAAAGAACCGCTCCTGTAACCTGTGACATTAGTTACATTGGTCCATAGTGAATGTTTCCCTCAAGATTCAGAAGAGAACACATAAAACATCTACATATGTTAGAGTGTGATTTCCTATAGGAAAACTTGCAATGTGCATTTTTTAACTATAGGATCGCAAAAGCTTAACAAAGAAAGAGAGGTGTATTTGCATAAACATTTTAAAAATGACGTAGGTGCACCTCAAGTTTCTGCAACGGTAAAACTATTCACAGTACATCATTTTCAATTCAACATCTACGCAGGTGACTTAAACCCCTAAAATCCTGAAGTAAGTATATGTCAGTTATTTAAAAATAGTTTCATCAGGAACTGTTGAGGAACTGCTTTGACCAAAATGCCTGATTCATCTTCCTCCCTCTGAAAGAGCTGAAATATAAGAGTCAAAACAACATGCTGCTAAAAACAAAAGCTTCTATTCAAGACAATGTTTGCAATTTTATTTGCTGAAAAACAACAAAATTGTACATGTTTAGGGAACCAATTAATGTTATTCTGATGCAGCATCATTCCTTTATTTATCATTAAAAACTATTTGTTTATATAATAATTATATTTTAACAGTGTTGTGCCAAATCCTTAATATTTACTCACTCTTGTAAAATGTTTATTTTATAACAGAATAGTGTGCCTAATTAGACACATCACAAGCTGCCACAAAACACTCACTGCTGAATGAGTGTACTGTTTCGGCTGGAGGTGGTGTGGTGTGTACAGAGGTGCAAGGAAACACTCCTTATTTCTGTATAACCCTTTTTGACCTGTGGCTTCTTTCACTTCCCCATGCATCACAGCTGGAGAGAATACAT